AAATAGTAAATAAATAAATACATGTCTCCTCCTGATTTTTCTGAGCATTTGGGATCTGAGCCTATATGGCCTCAGTGTTGAAATTTTTAAAAAGAAGTTATAATTAGTATGAGATGTGTATTTCTGACAGTAGAATTTAAATTCTAAAAGTTCAACCATGCAACTTATAATATTTTATAGATGTCTAAACAATAGATATAGCCCAAAATAAAAGGGTGGCATTTCAGTAAGAAAAGTATTGGGCTTACATCCCTCAGTCCTTGATCATTGCCTCTGTTTATTGTTTGTTAAGGATCTCACAATGAAGTGTAATGAAGAAGAAAAGTCTCTAAGCCCTGAGGCTTTTTCAAAGGTTTCTTTGACTAATCTTCGCAGATCTGCAGTCCCAGATCTTTCTTCAGACCTGGGCATGAACATTTTTAAGAAGGTGAGTATGCCTTTTGATATTTTAGCAATTTAGAAAGTCAGAGGGGCACACTGTCCTCTAATCTGCTACATGGTGTAATGCACTAGCAGAGGAAGGGGAAGTCAATGCCCAACTGTAACACAGACTCTCAGCATGACCCCATTACCCTGTACGAGTTCCTGTATATATGTGCATTGTGTGCGTGCATGAGTTGTGCATGAGTGAGTGAGTGAGTGAGTGTGTGTGTGTGTGTGTGTGTGTGTGTGTGTTGCTGCCTATCTAGATATTCCACACTATTGTCATGATGCCCCATCTTGGTGATTCAATGTGTTGATGGAAGTAGTGATGCTAACTTTCACTTGGACAGTTCCATGTCATCTGTCACGTACTCTATACAAAGTGCTCTTACTTAATCCAGAGAGATCCTGTTCTTCCAGTTTTGGGAGAATAAACTAACACAGCAATATTAGGTGTTTGCTAAGGTTTAATCCCAATCTCAGAAATAGGACTTCTACCTAAACAGTTCATGTTCTTCTCAACCCACTGTTCTGTCTCCCTTTCGTCATTATTTAATCAATAATTTTTGTATTTATTTTGGCTTTTATTTTTCTTCATATATTTATTGAATTGTTGAGAATTTCAAACAATATGTTTTTATCATATTTAGACCTCCTCCCCTATCTGCAAACCTCTTATTACCCTCCACCCTACAGGGTTTCATGTCCTCTGTCATATATATTAAGGGTTATCAAATCAAGTTTGTGTCTATAAATGTCTTTCTGTGTGTATCCACTGGAGCCTGCTTAATCTAACATCACTCCTTTAAAGAAAACCAACTCTCTCTCTCCCAGCAGTTATTGGTTGTCAACTGTTCCTCAGCTAGGCTGGGGCTTTTACCCGCTTCCCTACATCTATGCTAGAATTTTGTGGGTCTTTGTGGCTCTTAACATTGTTATAAGTTCTTATTAGTAACTTCCAAGCTGTCTGGAAAACACTGTATCCTTGTGGACATCAAGCACCTCTGACTCAAAATCTTTCCACCCCCTCTTCTACAATGGTCTCTGAGCCTTGGGTGGCAGAGGTTTGATATAGGCATCTTTCAGGAATAAGAACCCCCCAGAGTCTCTTATTCTCTGCACTTTGGCCAGTTGTGGCTTTCAAAGTTAATCACCGTCTGTTGCATAAGGAAGCTTCACTGGTGAGAGTTGAAAGATATACAAATATTCTTTCTGCCCCTGTTCCACTGTTTCCTGGGCCTTAGGTGTACAGGTTGTGTTAGGGCTGGGCACCTCACAGACACTTATTCTCTGCACTTGACCAGTTGCAGAACTTTTTAATAGTCTCCATTTGTTGCAAAAAGAAGCTTCTTTGATGAGTAGTAACAGGTATGTTTGTCTATACATAAAAGGATACATATTTAAAATCAATAGTGAATTAAGTTAGAAAACAGCATGTGTAAAATAATATATGCAGGCGGTTTTTTTTCTGTTTCTCCAAAGTTATTTTCTTAATTAAGTCAATGAAGAACAAAGAACATACTATTTTCTTATCCATGAGCTCAGCTTGTTGCTAAATAATAAGTTCTGTCTGTCTTCCTTAATAACATAGCAGTAGGCAATGACCATCATTTTCCCCAAAACATTGCTCTTTTGAGAGGAAAAAGGTTTTTCTATTCTCACTACACATGAAAATTTTTGTGTAGCTTTAAAAATCCAAGTGTCAAGGCCTGAGCCCAGAATCATACAATCAGAATTGCTGAAGACTAGACTCAGACATGGGTGTATTTTTTAAGCTTTCCAAGCCTGTCTGAACTCTGAGTTACCCTTGAGCTTGAGCTTCTTTGGAATGAATGATCTCTTTGTACCTGTGTGTGTCATGTGTCCTCTTTGACTCTCCTTGAACAATGAAGTTGCCAACTATAACAATGGAGCTCAGTCTTGAGAAATGGAACAGAGAAAAGAGAGACAGGTCCAAGTGTCGACTCAGGTCTCTAATCCTTTCCCCTATGGTGCTCATCAACCTTTAGTGTGCATCAGCATCCTCTGCAGGTCTTGTTAAAATGCAGGTCACTGAACTTGTCTGTCTGAAATTCTGATGTGGTGTATATGAGGCAAATTTGCAAATCTGAATTTCTAACAAGTTCCCAAGGCTGCTGCTGCTGGTGGTTCAGGGACTGTTCTGAGAACCACTACTCTAACCCATCCAGCAGAAAGACCTATGGGATGTGTAACATTTCACTTAGTTTCTTTTGATCTTTATCACATAGATGAGATTATCTCCCATGCCCATTGGATGATATTCAGTGACTTTCAGGAAGTGCCTTTTCCTAGGACATTTTCTTTATCTAATTTTATTTCTCATCATTGCAGTTCAAGAGCCGCAAAGAAGACCGAGAGAGGAAAGGCTCCATCCCCTTCCACCACACAGGGAAGAGGAGACCTAGAAGAATGGGTGTACCATTCCTGCCCCATGAGGACCACCAGGATGTGTCGCCCACCCGCAGCACATTCTCTTTCGGGAGCGTCTCTGGGCTTGGAGAAGACAGGCGAGGCATGGAAAAGGGAGGCTGGCAAACCACCATTTTAGGTGACTACAAAACTCTTCCTAGAAGGACACAGCTTAAGTGACCTATTTAGGAGTTTTTATCTAGAGCTCCCTGCCAAATGTAGAACTTTCTTAAACAGTTCAGTCAAGAAAACTGGGCCTATGTGTAAGTTATTCAGTATTTAAATAATGCAGTGTTTTCACAACTGAAGAAATGCAGATAATTAAATTAATTAGGCAAGAATTCTGTGTGATTACCCAGGAAATGGCCTTATTTTTTAGATCATTATATATGCAGAAACATGGCCACAGAGAGTTCTCTACATTAATTTTCACTTGTTAATCTAAGACAGGCTTTTACTTAACATTGTTAATTAATAAAGAAGAAGCAAAGCAAAGACAAAAAGAGAAACATTTTCCCTTTTTGGATGGCAACTGAGGAAGACTGGCTTCAAACAAGAAAGCTGACAGCTAGCAGGGCACAACAGATGGTTTCTGACATTTGGCTTCAAATGGGGCTGACCTTACCACAGGCAGTTTCATCAATCATCTTGACCTTGAATAGTCTCAAATCAAGTTCAATTCTTGCTGTTCAAGCTAAGCTTCACACTCTTGTTGATACCCCCTCACTGCACTGTCCTCTGAAAAGAGAAGTATCTCAGCACAGATGCTTCTAAGTTTTAAAACCCTCTTGCAACATTCTCATCTACCTCAGGGAAACTGACTCGTCGGGGCAGCTCAGATGCAGCCACTGAAATGGAAAGCTTGAGCGCCAGGCACTCCCACTCCCATCATACTCTGGTGAGCGACCTGCCTGACCACTCCAACAACCATGGAGAAAATACCGTCAAGGAAGGTGGGTCCTGCATGGATGGGGCAGGAGGCAGGATGGGGCAAGGCTGCAGATTTCTTTTCCTATTTCCTGTTCTTGCTCTGTGTTCTGCATTGATTGGTCTCTGCATCCTTAATGTTTTTTTAAAAAAATTGTGCTCTAGGGGGCTGGAGAGATGGCTCTGTGGTTAAGAACACTCGTTGTTCTTGCAGATGATCTGAGTTTGAATCCCAACACCCACAGGGAAGCTAACAACTGTCCGTAACTCCAGTCCCAGGGGATCCAACAGCCTCTTCTGACCTCTGTGGGCATTGCATGACATGGGTGCACTTAACCTACATACAAGCAATACACACATACACATAAAATTTTTTTTAATTTATTAAAAATAAAACCTGTGCTTTTACATTAGCATTGCTCTGTAATCTACTTGCTAGTCATTCTTAGTACATCCTTAGTAGCAAGGACCGTTTGGTACCACTTGATGAACACCACACCTCCAGAGGGAGAGCAGGCTGAGCCAATCAGACCTGTTGGCAAAATATCATAGACCTAAACGTGCATGGTAGTGCACACCTTTAATCCTAGCACTTGGGAGGCACAGGCAGGTGGATCCCTGTGAGATAGAGGGCAGCCTGGTCTATGTAGTGAGTTCTAGGCCAGCTGGGGCTCCACAGAGAAGACCCTGTCAAAAAAAAGAAAAAAGAAGAAGAAAGAAAGAAAGAAATCAAGAGAAAAAAAGAAAAAGAAAGAAAGAAAGAAAGAAAGAAAGAAAGAAAGAAAGAAAGGAAGAAAGAAAGAAAGAGAAAGAAAGAAAAGCTCATAGGTCCAGGAACCAGAAATTGTAGAGATTCAGTGTTTTAATCGCCTCCATGATACATCTCCAAGAGTGAGAGGTTCCTACAAGTCAGTGGGAGGAGAGTATCTACTCTCCAAGGCCACCAGATCCTTTTTATGACATCTGCTATTTCAGTTTGATAGCTTAGGTAGAGCAAACGTGTCTCTGAGTGGCATCCACGACAGAGTCTTATTCTTTACTTGAAACAGAATTGCTGATTCTTTGTTATTCTTATGCTCTTGTAGGAGCATAAACTTAACCACTTGAGCCCTTTTGCCCCTAAACTATATTGTAAGCCTTCAATGACATCTGTATTGATTGTCACTACAAATTTATGTTCCATTGCTTTTAGCCAAAGAAGAAAATTTTCTTCTACTTTTTCCTTAACACTTAAGATCAAAACAAAGTATTTTTTAGAGTTGCAATTTTTTTTATTAATTTTGTTGTTTGACAGTTTTGTCCGTGTACATAATGTACTCTGACTACTCTTCCCCACTCCCAGCCCCACTTCTATCCCTGTCAAGCCCCACACCCCATCCCAGCCAGTCCTTTTCCCGGGTTCGTGACTTTTAGTTTCACATCTATAAAGTCATGGAAAATACCTCCAACAAATCGCTTATATCAATACAACTGTCATGTGACAGTAAACAAACGTTGCAGACTGTGATCAACTAAAGTCATTGTTACATAATCTAAATCCTAGCTTCAGTCTTAAGGAAAGCAGTTTCTAGAACCTTCATTATTTGTCAGATATTACATTCTCTCAACAGCTTTAGCATTTCCACAAGAGCTGATAATAGCTTTGAGGCTATAAGTCAAATGTCTTAAAAAGCTGTAACTATTATTGCGGTTACAACATAAGTGACAGCGTGCCAGTCTGCCTGACGCAGCAGTTAATAAGAGGAAAACTAAAGCATTGTTTTCACCTTACTAGTGCGATCCCAGATCTCCACAATCACAGTTGCAACTTTCAATACCACACTGGCATCTTTCAACGTAGGCTACGCAGACTTTTTCAGTGAGCATATGAGGAAGCTCTGCAACCAGGTGCCGATCCCAGAGATGCCACATGAACCTCTGGCATGCGCGAACCTGCCACGAAGCCTCACAGACTCCTGCATAAACTACAGCTACATGGAGGACACGGAACATATTGATGGAACCAACAACTTTGTCCACAAGAATGGCATGCTGGATCTTTCTGTAAGAAGTAATCCTTTTCTTATGAAAACTTGAAAGCCATTGACTCTTTAGTTCAACTTTTACAAGATTGGGTAACATAAGTGTGTAGAGTCTTAGAAGTATTTGTTGAATCTTAAAATGAAGAAGCTACATATAAAAATTTCACAATCTTATCAACAATTATAGATGTACCTTTTGTTTTTCCTGAATATTACATTAGATTCAATTTGATCTCAAAATATTTTTAGAGACCTAAGACATTCATGAAACCTGACTACATTTTTGTAACTATACTTCAGCAAGTGTTTGTTACACCCCTCTTTTTTTCTAGAATAAAAATAAGAAGTTCATTTATTTTCTTTAGTTATATAATCACCAGGCTACAAACCTCCTGTGTAGTCAGGAAAAAAATGAATAAACATTCTTAAAAGATTTAAGCTGCATGTTCAAGAATGCCTGTCTTGAGTATAGTTATTAGCAAATGAAAGGGTTGTTGTATTTTTAAATTATATTTCACCAACATTTTTATTGCACCTTAGGGAACCAGACTCAGCAAATAATTTAAGATATTAAAATTAATAAAGGGTCATAATTTAAACATGCAAACATTATGCATTTAAAATTGAAGGGTAAATAATGATACAGTCATGGAGGGAGCCAATGTTCCTCTATTATAAGCATGAGGAAATTATTGTCCTTTTATTTGTGGGATGTGAAATGCAAAGGATGAAAACATTTTGATTTAAAAAAATCAGTTGAGTAAATTCTCATTTGGACAAATGATTGTTCTTTCATTTATTCACTGTGCTTATTCCTGTCAACTGTCTCTATTATGGCAGGGTTTAGAAGGCTTATGTGAGCTAATACATATTTTAAAATCGTCTGGTGAATTATATTGTATATTGAGTGCATACATGATGGACTAATGCAAATTACGTAAGAAAATCTGAAAAGTGCCCAAGGAAGTGGATTAAACAGAATAACAGAATTTAGGGAAAGGGAGTGAAGGTAACTTCCTGTCCCATGTTTGCCTTTCTCCTCTGCAGGTGCTTCTGAAGGCTGTTTATCTCGTCCTTAACCATGACATCAGCTCTCGCATTTGTGACGTGGCACTAAACATTGTGGAATGTTTGCTTCAACTTGGGGTGGTTCCATGTGTGGAAAAGAACAGAAAGAAGAGTGAAAACAGGGAAAATGAGACTGTGGAAAAGAGACTGAGTGAGGGAGCTTTCCAGTTCAAAGGCATGTCTGGAAGTTCCACTGGTGGATTTGGGGCCCCCTCAGTTAGTGGAGCTGGAGATGGTGGAGGAGAAGAAGGAGGAGGTGGAGATGGAGGAGGAGGTGGAGGAGGTGATGGAGGAGGCGGTGGAGGAGGCGGAGGAGGCCCTTATGAGAAGAATGGGAAGAACCAAGAGAAGGTAAGGCGGAGCTGCCTTCAGTGTCCTCATGCAAAGGTGTCACAAATGCATCCTCAAGCTTTTTCTTTTTAAACAGAAATTTATTGACTCAAAAAAGCAATTAGTCACTAAAGTAAGAAAGTGAAGAAGATAGAAAGCTGTTCAGGAAGTGCTTAACGGGCATGAGTAGAAACAGTTCATCAAATCCGGATTCTAAACTCCAAAGCTTTTGTCATCCAAAGTTATAGCTATATTTGTGGTTATTTTATTTCTGGAGGAAAGCATCTCAAATCTACTACATTATTATGATTCTAGTCTGTCACCAAGAATAAGCCTCTTTCTTAAGAATTTCTGGGTCTAGCCTAATATTGTAGTGTCTTGGTCTCAGACTGCCATAACAAAATACTGTAGCTGGATTAAACAACTGATGCTTTCTTCTTGTGGTTCTGGGGCCTGGAAAGAGAAAGGTTAAGGTGCCATCAGAAGTTTTGTTCTTCTCTTGGCTTATAAGTGACTGTCATCACTATGTGCCCACATGACTTCTTTGTGCAAAATACAGAGAGAAACAGAGACAGACCGACAGATCTGGCATCTTTTATGAGACTAACCCATTGGCTCTAGAAACCAATATCTAACCTCATTTAATTCCAATTACCTCCTAAAGGCCAGTCTCCAAATACCATCAAATTGAGACTTAAGGCTTCGATGTATTAATTTTGGGACATATATATCTAGTCCATAATAAGCAGTTCAATTTTAGTTCCTCCTCTTGACTTAAGTAACATATTTTTGCCAGCCAACCTCAACCACAGTTAAGGAGAGTTTTGCTTGATTATTTGGTTGGTTATGTTGACATTGACTTGGCACAGAAATAGCCACCCAGCCTCAGTTCTCTCATACCTCAGTGTGTCACATCCCCAAGGCTTTCAACTTCTCTTTATTGGTTGTTCTTGAATTCCATTCCCCCTTCATATTACCATGCCTTATGGTCCCTGAAATTTACCAAGAAATTTTCTTTTAATTTGAGTTTTAAATACAAATTGTCACAATTTATACTCATATAAATTACACTGATTTCAACTGAGATTTTAACTGAAAATTGATACTTTCTCATAAATTGAAATAAACAGAATTGATTCTTGAACAGAGAAAAATCTGCAGATGATGTCAAGTGTAACAAGTAAAAAGTTACACTGTAAAGTGTTTTAAGATCTCCATATATTATGTAAACTGAATTGTCCAGTTTTCCTTATAGGGTCTCAGATTTTAACATCTAAGTGAATGGCACTGAGCTCGTTCTTTTTTATCATTTTTTCTCTGGTTGTAGTCCCCTTGGTACATATTTAGTTTATTTTTAGTTTCTGTTTTTCTTCATCTTATGATTTACTTATATCTTCCCAATATTCCTGAGCTCAGATCCTAAAATTTGTTCCAATATTCTTTTGTTTCTTAACCTTCGTTTAGGATTTTCTCAAACATATATCGTACCTAAATACTATCTTAGACATTATATCTTGGTACTATAAATGCTATTTTACCCAAGTTATCACTTTTGAGCAGCATTGGAGGTTTGAAAATCAGATTATGCAATCTCCCAAATGGCCATTAATATATAAATAACTACATAATAGTGAGTTCTCAAACTACAGTTAGACTTTATGATTCACAAGAGTCTGTTTGAAGGCTGGAGAGATGGCTCAGTAGTTAGGTACATTTAGTGGTTTGAATGAGAATGTCCCCTATAGATTCCAAGTATTTGGACAGTTGGTCCCCAGTTAGTGGTGCTTTTTTTTTGGAGGTCCTAGATAGTGTGACCTTGCTGGAGGAAGCACGTCACTAGGAGTGGGCTTTGAGGGTTCTTATGCCTTTCCATATTTCCAGTTGCTACTCTGCTCCCTGTACCTGCTTCAAGATGTGAGTACTAAACTTTGTACTCCAGCTACCCCTGCCACTATGCCTCCCCACTATGACAGACTCTGATCCCTTTGGAACTGTAAGCTCAGATAAATTCTTCCTTCTATAAGTTTCCTTGGACATGGTGTTTTATCACAGCAACAGAAAAGTAGCTAATACAGAAGTTGGTTCCAGAGAGTGGGCTATTGGCTGTGAAGACCTATGTGGGTATTTTTTAGAGAAATGTGGAAGACTTTGGGAGTTTGGACTAGAAAAGCAATTGAATGCTGTAAGAAGAACTTACTGGGCCATTCTAGTAGGAACCTGGAAGAAGTTAGTGCTGAGAACAAAGTAGTTCCAGAGGGAAATAAAGATATAAGCAGCAACTGGAATATTCTGGCAAGGAGTTTAGCTGGAATCTGACCACAGCCTAAAACCTTGGCTGAGGCTAAGTTGAAAAGCAATGTACTAATTTCTTTGGAGGAGGAAATTTCAAGAGAGCCTAATTTAGAAATGGTGATATGGCTATTAATGGTGAATATTATGCAGATCTAAAGTGAAAAAGAGGAAATGAGGCAGAAAAAAATGCAGAATGTGCAGTTTGGATTGAAAAGGAGCACTAGGAAGATTAATGGAGCCAAGGCCGGTGATGAAGGAGAGGATCCCTTTGATAAGAGATTAAAATGATTAAGGACAGACCGAAAGGTTTGCACTTAAACAATGGAAAGAGTACCTTCAGGGAAAACCACACCCAGCTAATTCTCCAACTTGTGAAAAGAAAAGGCTTGAGAGGATTTCTACTCCTAGAAAACCATAGCATAGAAAAAATGCTGGTAATGCGGATGAAGCTGGCCCCAGTTCACCACAGGCCATCAGCCAAACTTGGCAGTGTTGTTCATGTGGTACTGGCTTCAAAGGCATGAAAAATGCAAGAGTAAAGGGGTCACTGGTTCTACTTCCTTGGTTTCAAAGAGCCTCGGAGGCCAGGCAGTGAGCAGCAGGGATGTCCCTGTATAAAGAAGGCCCTGATGGGTCATTGCATGAAGCTGTGAAGGTGAAGCTTAGTTGGCAGTGGAGACCCCAAGAAGGCATTGGAGATGCTAGAGGCATGTCACATCTGTCAAGGAGAGCTGCATACAGGGACCCCAAGAGAGAGGTATATGTTGCACAAAGCAAAGCTGGAGGTGCTGAGCCACCTAAGCCCTTTGGAAGTAAAGTCCTAGAAGTCAGACATGGAGCTACTGGATTTGGTGTTTGCCCTACTGGTTTTTGGGCTTGTTTTGGTTTGGTATTTCCTCACTATACTTATATTCCTTCCTTTTGGAATAGGAATATATATTCAGTTCCACTGTATGTTGGAAGCATGTAATTTGTCTTTTGATTTTACAGGGGCTTATAGTTAAGAGATTGCTCTGAGTTTCAGAAGAGACTTTGGACTCTGGACTTGGAATAGTTTTGAAACTGGTAAAGACTATGGGGACTTCTGAAAGTAGACTAAATGCATTTTATATGCTCATGAGCCTATGGGGGCCAGGGAGACCTGGCTCCATTGTGCATACACTGATAGCTGTGTATCTCCAGTAGGACCAAGTTCAGATGCCATTACCCAAAGATGATGACTCTCCCACTCTGGGCTCAGTGCCATTCCTTAGCAAAGGCTATTTATTCTTTTGAAATAATTCAAGGATGTTCCTTTTGGGATCCATGTTCTCTACACTAGTAAAAGGGAGAGAACAATTTTATAATTTATCCTAGGAGAGCTTCCTCCTAAGCCTAAAGGGAAGAATCCAGCTGAATATTTGTAAAGTTCTACACATTCTAAGTTTTCTTGTAGATGTGTGATGTAATATGATGGAAGAATACCCACAAAAGTATCAGAAATTGATTTCAGAGCAAGATTAGTTCCAGAAAGTTAGCAACAATCCTTGCCTAGTGGTATTATCAGGAACCTACTGATGAAAGTAGTTTCTAAGAATTCTGTTTGCTTTCAGACAGTTATTGATAACTCTACTGTCTCTCTCTAGACAGTCATTCTGATCATCCATCAAGGATATGTTAACTTGTGATAAAGAAGTTCAAATTCTCTAGCATCAGAGGCTACTCAAAATGCATAGGTTTCTTTCTTTTAGTTCATGACTAGATCTTAGAAAAGTGAGTTTGTTGAACTCTTGACAATTTTATCTCCCAAATTGCTGTAAAACGTTCAATTCACTTTAATCAAAGCAAAATTATAGTACTAAAAGCAGCTCGGTGGCAGAGTCAACAGACTTCTTCTTTTCAATCATGGGTACTAGGATGACAGCATACCTGTAAGCAACCATAGGCTTGCTCTCACGATGCTCATCAAGATAGTAAAGTCTTTGGGATGTGCCTATGGTTGTGGAGAAGGACACCGAGGGCTCTCTGGAGATCGTCTGAGACACCAGGTATTCCGAGAGAATGTAAGAGAATTAAAGTAGATTCCATTTCCTCTCTCTTGCTAATTGAAGAATGAGTCCTTTGACAATGAGGGTCAGTGTTCCCTGAAAATATTGTATTTCAGAGGCAATTAATGGTATAATTGTAGGACTATTCCCATAAGCTATCTCAAGACATCTAAAACTGAGGCTTAGAATAGTTTGAGAAAACACTTCTGCCTCCCATCTATTGAAGATCAATAATCATTTGGAAAAAGGATGCTTAATTGGAATGTCTAGATTGCAATTTGAAAGAACTTTGTACAGATTAAAACATTTAGTAAGCTTCTGACAGTCTGTGACAGATGATCCTTTGGTCATCTGGATAACATTAGAAGCAATCTATATTGGAGAAAGAAGTCTAAGTTAAGGACTTTGATGTTCTTGCTTAGATATGGAAAATGGCCCTTATTGGGACAAAACAGGACTATAAAATTGATCCGTCATCTTCTGGCTGCTTTGCTTGAGAATGACCCTCAACTTCAAGATATTTGAGATCATGTCCCTTTGAACTGTGTGAAACTTGAAACTCTGCATATAGGCTTGTCTTTGTACTTCAGTGATGGAGCATGGTTTTGTCCTGGCTTGTTTTCAGTTGTATCTACTGACTGCTACCTTTCCTATCTAACCTGAGTAACAGTATACTCTAACAAGCCTGAATTGGGATGGTTGCCTTATTTGTTCATAGGAATTGAAATTATAAGAAAATAGTCTTTCAAAAATAAAGATCTGATACAAATTTGAGCTCAGGAAAACCCTTTGGCATATCTTGGCAGAGTTTTAGGATCATGTCAAAATCTGATGCCAGCCCATTTTCTTTGGTGTTAGACTTTGTCATGAAGTGTTCACATAGTTTCAGCATGCTGGATTTTTTGCTTAACATACCATCCATTAATTCATCCATTTACCTTTGTTTTATATTTTATTATGTTGTGTTATTTTAGTTTAATATGTGGGAAGTATATTCACATTGATTATCTTTTAAATTCCCTAACTCAGATATTTTTACCAAGATCTACATTTTGAGACCAAAGATAAGAAATCAAAATAACAATAAGGCAATAGAGGCTTACGTTGCTTCCATCCTTGCACATTCATATGTGACTTTTGAACTCTGATTTTTAATTCTATCACGAGATGAATAAAAACTGTCGAGGCTAAAACATATCACTCCTCATCCAGAGGACCAGTTTCATGAACTGCTTAAAATATAAAGTGAAGTGTCTTGCATTAGTTGGGGGTATAAACTGGCTCTGAGGATTGCATTCTGCCTGTAGATTCATAGAAAGTAGGGCCAGTTGGGTCTGAAGAAAAGCTGCTGTTCTTGCCGCTTGTCCACCATGCTTTCCTGCCAAGGAGTACTTTAGATTTCTGTGAGACTAGCCAGCCAGTTTTCTGCCTGCCTTCACAACCTCATCTTGGCCTATTGCTTAATGATCTTGGGCCTCTCCTGTATCTATTACACAGACTGAATGTGCAAGTTAGAGAAATTCCCCCAGGAACTTATCCAGTTCAAGAAACTAGATATTTCTAGATTTATATACCACTGAATTTTCTAAAGTTACCTAACTTGGAACATTAAGAATACATCTTGCCTTTAGATAAGATCAGCAGGTTTTCTTTATTTTTTGTAGAGTTTACTATATGGTATCTTCTGAGTGCCTATGGCTCTATCACATGAACTTCTTAGATTATTAATCTAATTATTTGCTAGTAGTCCCAAATTATTGAAAAAGAATTGTTTGATATTTTTAGATCTCTTAAAGAAAATTGTAATATCTACCCAGAATAAGAATAGTTAAGACTTGAGACTCTTATACTCGCTTAAAATTCTCAGTGAACTCTTACTAACCACAAAGGTATCTTTCAGTTTCCAAAGAGAAGATTGAAACTATACATTTTTTTTGTCTTTTTTGAGATAGGGTCTCCTTGTAGCCCCAGCTGTCCTGGAACTCACTATGTAGACCTGGCTGGCCTCAAACTCACAAAGATCCACCTGCTTCTGCAGGCAGGATCTGCCTGGTTTTCCAAAACAGGGTTTTAAAAATCCCTCTAAATATTAGAATGAGATCTTTACAAATTATTTATGGAATAATTAAGTCACTGAAGATTACATTTTACCTAAGTTCTTTGTAAACTTTATTTTATAACAAAACAGCATCTATTTAATTTTTTAGAAGTGTGACTGTGCTTGAGATATGATATCTAGTAAGCTCTCTGGAATAAAAATACCTGGTTTCAAATCTTCTGAGACTTAGTAAAGGAAAAATGAAAAAGTATCTATCTATCTAACTATGATACAGATGTAGAGATTACAGAAAGCTTATATAAGTAAATTCTGAGTTTCCTCATTTTATATTCTTTGTTTTAAATTTCCAAGTATTTTTCCCTGGGTCATGACTAGTCTAATGAGTAATGCAGCTTAAGTTTTCTTCTGGTCACTATTAAAAGGTCAAATATGATTCCAGTTCTCAGGGACTGCTTCCCTGCCCTGACTTGATGCTCATCCTTGACTGTGCAATGTTGTCTGTCCTCGAGGTGGTCTCCCCCAGCTGGCTCTCCTTTCTGGAGCCTTAAGCCCTTTCTCCAACTCAGAGGCCGACTTCATTCCATTATTAGGGCCTTTCTTGCTTCTCTTTTGTTCATACCTTGTCGTTTTTGAAATATCAATGAGTTCCTAGTATCAGTCATCTTAACTCCTTTTTGGAAGTGGTTTCTAGATACAGTCTCTTAATGCCATCAATGTCCAACTGTTATTGCTGTAATTTCATAGGAGAATGAACTACAGATTTGTAGGCAAGACCTTGACTTGTAGTGTTGACCCTACTGTGGAACTCACAGTGTCAACTTAGACAGAATCCCTGATTCCTTTCAGCCTCAATTTCCACCGCTGTGAGAAAGCAGTAATCAACAAGTAACAGAGGTGGTGCAAAAGTCAAATGTAATGCATTTTCAAGCAAGAAATATATATTTACAGCAAAACCCCATGCAAATAAGGTTTCTCTTTTACTGGTAGATGAAGGCTAACAGACTCCCGATGCTCCCAGGTGTTATGAGAATATTCTATCTCTGCAGCCAATGACTGTGTCTTTGTTGTTTCTGAGGGTAACAAACAAAATTTTGCAAAGTGGCAAAATTATTTACTAGATCATAAGAAATATGAGACCAAATTCTATCTAAATATCATCTTTCTTTCACATCCAAAAGTAGAAAAATATAAGTAAATATTTTATGACTCATATGTTTCAAGGACCTTTTTTCCTCTTGGCCATAAAAGAGGGCACTGTACAGCTGTGGCTATGGCTCAGTTAGTAGAGTACTTGCTGCCATACCTGAAGCTCTGGTTCAATACCCAGCCCCGCATAAACTGGGCATGGTAGGGCACATCTGTATTTCTAATGCTCAAGAGGTAAAGGACGTTAGGATTAGAGGTTCAAGGTTATCCTCAGCTATATAAAAAGTTCAAGGCCAGACCGGGCCATATGATACTATGTCTTTTTTAAAAAAGCAAAAGAAAGAAAATACAAAGAAGAGCCCTGGATAGTCACTTTCTGCTCTTCATGCCCTCAACTCTCTCCATTAAATCTATTTAATTTCCAAGTGGCTGAGCATGAAAACTACACGTATCTTCCCATTTTACAAAGCCTTTGAGGTTTGCTAGGCATGGAATGTGAATTCCATCACAGCAGTTTTACACTTTGAGTTTTACACTATGGTGTTGAAGTCTTGACCTTGGTAAAAGGACTGAGTTCTGGGATCAGCACCGAGCTTCAGCTTCAGGCTTTTCCTGAGGGGTAGCTCTTCTAAGTGCAAACTCTTTTGGACTGCCCAGTTCTTACTTGAACAGGGCCTAGCACGGGAGCCTGGCAGCTGCAAGTGGGGTGGGTGGGACTCTTTGCCTCTGAAACCTTTGGTCTCAGACTAACGGTATCTGAAGCATAAACTGGTACTTGTGACTTTTTCACTTTTCTTCCTTCATTGCAGGCCCAGAACTGCCTCACTAAGCTATACAAGCTAGATAAGATGCAGTTCCGACAAACCATGAGGGACTATGTGAACAAGGACTCTCTCAATAATGTAGTGGACTTCTTGCATGCTTTGCTAGGATTTTGTATGGAGCCTGTCACTGACAGTAAGTAAAGCCACGCTTAAGTTCTAGGAGCAGTCACTGTGAGGTGAAGCAGGTAGTGTTTCCCTGGCACAGTCAATTCTTGGAGGCAGAATTTAGAGAGGAAAGATACCTATGCATGCCGACACATGTGTACATATGTGTGTGTGTTTCTGTGTCATAAATTATATTTGATGACATGTTTTCCTCAGAAGTCAATTTACTTCATTGCATGGGAATTTGATAAAGCTGCCTCTCATATGAACTTCTATGTGTGACAAATGAGACAGAAACCATGGGACAAGAAAATATATTTACCAGTTCAACAAATGTGAAATGGTGGCTACAATATGCTATACACAGTGCTTGTCATTTTTTACAAAATAAATTAAGGAAGAAAAATGTGATTAGCATGAACAGGATAGTGATACCATTGGACACACATTTAGGAAAACACAAAATCCCATGAGATATTTTATAGTTTCTTGGTTTTAAGAAAATTCCAGTAGAAGTGCCTAAATTAGATTTGTATTCATTATAAAATGAACACCTCCAGTACCTTCTAGATGTAGATAAAGTAATGAACTGAATCTGGGTTGAGTCAAGCAAATGTTTTGGTTTGAGCCTAGAAAGAAAGAACTTCTTAGTGTGGGCTCATTGCTCACATGAATGATAATTTATTAATTTATAATGAAAACATTGATGTGCTTAGAAGCAGTTTTCTTGGTTGTATCCCAGGTTTTATTGTTTAATTATCACAATAAGAGAACATGTGGCTCCTTTGTAGAACCTTGGAATAATCTCCACCCTCGGAACTGGTTTAGGCTAACCATAATATAATTTTGCAAACAATAAAATGAAGGTTGAAGTTGAGATCTTCAAGAGATTACAAACTATTTTCTTTTTTTAATCCTATTTGAGTTAAGAGCTCTAAGCACAGACTGCAATATTTCTTTCAGTAATATAAATCTGAAGATAAATCCTTGTTATTTGGTACAGGCAGTGAAAGATCTGCGATCAAGTGTGTTACTTTGAGTTGATATGTTTCTCCTGGGATTCTTGAGATAGGAAAGTAGGTCACAGTGAGTTAGACAGGTGGACAGAGATCCTTATCCATCAGTCTAAAAGATGGGCATGCCCTTCCCACACCTACGGGTGGTTCACAAGCCATGAATAATCCTCTGACAAAGCCAGAGAATGAATGTGCATACTCTAAGGAAGATCTGTGAATATGTAAAACAAAAAGTGATATAATGTTCCACGAAGGCTGACAGCCTCTGATCGTCAGCATTTCCCATGCTCTTTGTTAAGGAGGAGGTAGCTTTGCAGGAAGGGGGAGCTTTATCCTGTCCAGAAAGCTCTGGGAACACTCTGCAATGTTGGCGGTCCTGGTCTCCCCCAGGCCTGCAGGAGTGCCTCTGCAGGGCTCCACTGCTTCTTCCTTCTTGCTGCCCAACTTACCTTACTGGCCCATCTCATGCCAATGCTGACATACTAGTTTACACTAAGAAGCCAGCATTCCTCACCAAAGTAAAGTTTGTTTCACTTTATTTTTTTCTCTACTGAGAAACCATTTAGTGGGTCATTTTTCAAACTGGTTACCTGTATAAACAACAGCAAATCTTTGTGCAATTGCCTAAAGTCAACAGTTGACCCTTTTCTTTTGTGAAGGTTTATCAGCCAAAACATTCCTTCACAAAGGTGATGTCAGAGCAAACACTGTGAAGGAGACTGGTTCTTTCATATCACACTCTGCATAGGGATTATTACACTGAGGGTATCTTCTATCATCTGTTTCTGTACTTTGGTGCCACCCTTTGCTATTTCCTCTGTTCTAAGTAGTTACATCCTCATACCCTTAATTGTGTGGTTTATTGCCTTTAACACTGTCTTTGCATTCTAGACAAAGCTGGGTTTGGAAACAACTTCACCACAGTGGACAACAAATCGACAGCTCAGAATGTGGAAGGCATCATTGTCAGTGCCATGTTCAAATCCCTCATCACACGCTGTGCCTCAACCACACATGAACTACATAGCCCCGAGAATCTGGTGAGACATATTCTCCTCTTCCCACCAGAGTTCTCAGACTCAGCTCTGAGGGAAGTGCTTACATTGTAACCGTGAGGAGAGTTATAGTAGTCTTGTATATAGTCTTAAAGTTACAGTATCTATTTTTTTCTAATGTGACCATTAACTCACTATAGAGCCTTAACACCTTTTCCTGACTACAGATTGAATTAGTTTCCTCTTTCATCTCATGGGTCATGTATGATTGGTGAAACAGTTGTAAGGTGTTTTGAGCTTTTATAATTTATTAGTTCATGAAATATGAAATGGTGTTATTCCAAGAATTATTTGAAACTATGTTTACATTTATGAACTAATGCAAATAGTTTATTGAAATTTGTTTCCCTTCTTTTATTGAGCTCTGTGATCTTTAGCTTCCCTTCATAAAACTCTTTGTTAATTCATCAACGAATGTTGCAGGCAGTGTGGGAAGAATATTAGTTTATAAATGGTTAGTACTCAGGAGATGGTGTTTGAGACACTGAGTGTAGACTTAAGGTGACAAACGACACAGATAGGTAAATTCTGGTCTCTTTGGGAGACAAAAGAATATTCCCTACTAATGTCAGACACTATGATTGTTATACAGAAATGAGCCCACTTATACATATGAACCTGTCTGCCATTTTACCTGAATCAAAGACATTATTTTATATTACTCTAAACTGTTAGAGTGATTCACTTGTGATAAAGGTATTTTTAAAAATCCAAAGGGAATTTACTTTTGTTGGCGGCCAAAGCCAACCCAGTAATGCTCTTAAAACTTGAGTGGAACATAAACATCTCTCATACATTCTTTTTAGTCCTGGCAAGAAGTGATATAACAAGTAGATTACTGTATAGGTGAATGCTTATGGATCTGTATCTACAGCCTCATATGTAGAAGAAATACTAAAATTTCTTTAAATTTTCGTAAGTACAACTTTGAAGTCTACTATTCCACCAGAATAACTAGAAGTCAAACTTCAGCCTTCTTAGGTTTTCCCACTCCACAGTACGGGGTAAACATTTTAAAGCCTGTGAGTCTCCATGGGTCCCAGCCATTCATCAGGACCTTGTTATTTCGCAGTGCTCTCTGGTGATGCTTAGGGCTGTGCATATTCTGGTGAGTTTAGAAATCTTGCTCTTTGCTCTCTTTCCCCTTTCACAGATGAGCAAATGCAGAGCAGAGGGAACAAAGCAGGGCCTTGCTGCACATAGGTACCAATAGACACTGTTTCCCTGATATCCTCAAGGGCCCTTCCTTCTGATTTTCTAAAGATTATGGGCATAATTTTCCCAGTGGTGTTAGGTTTGGGAAAACCAAAGCTACCAAGACAAGTTTTTATATAGGATTTGTTATTTTGCTGTACCACAAAGACAAAGAAGACAGTAACTACCTCTTAATAGAAGGAAGGTGGGAGTGTAGTTGCTGAGAACAAAGCTTAGTATCTGAAGAAAATGTTCATATACATTTTATAATGTTGATTAACCAGTACAGTAGTAGTAATAACCATCCCACATAGTCTTAACTTCATAGCCAAGTTGACATTCAACCAAACTACAGCATACAGATCATTTCCTAAATATGTCCAGTAAAATTCATCATCCTTTGAATAATTGGACTTGGTTAGAAGTAGCTACATGGTTTACTTAACATTTTGTCATAAAAACATAAACAGTTTAGACAAGCTGAACAGGGGCTGAAATCTCTAAAAATCTAGTTCAATCTAAACAAAATCCTGACTACATTTTTTTTTTTTTGTAGGCATTTCTTTAGAACTCGCAATTAAGAGAGAAAAACTGGAGCTTGAGAATGCAGGTTTAAAAGTGTAGACTTATTTCCCACTAGTGAGAGCCAGCTTCCAAATTTGAAGTGTGTGTTAACCACATCCATTCTAAAGATGACTAGCAGTATTCTTCCATAGAACACCATCCAAAGCAAGCACGCCATTGCTTTCAATGTATTAGTTGTCATTCTTTTGTTATTTCAGTATTCATCAAAACCCAAGGATTGACTTCTCTTCCTGGGAAAGCCGATCAGATAGCTACCTTTCCTTCCCCACACTTTCCTCTTGCTTTCATACAGGGACTGTATTGTGACATCCGCCAGCTGGTCCAGTTTATCAAAGAAGCACATGGGAACGTCTTCAGAAGAGTGGCACTTAGTGCTTTGCTTGACAGTGCTGAAAAGTTAGCACCAGGGAAGAAGGTGGAGGAGAATGAACAGGAATCTAAGCCTGCAGGTGGTAAAAGGTTGGAAGCTCGAGCTCTCTGAATATTAGTGTTTGTTGTATGTTGGAAGAACAGTATCATTTAATACAGTCTATGTGTTTCCTGATCGTCAAGGCAGGGATGGTAAAATTCTCTTAAGGAAATGGTACCATGAAGCTTAGAAAAAGAATGAGTTCTCTCTCTCTTTCCATATATATATATATATATATATATAGAGAGAGAGAGAGAGAGAGAGAGAGAGAGAGGGAGAGCTAGATATAGCTAGATAGGTTATCAGTAGCAGATGCTTTGCTGTGTATGTGGTGTGTGTATAATACCACCTCTTCAGACATCAGAGCTTAGTTCTCAAAATTGAATGTACTTAAACTTTATTTAATAGCTCTTAATTACATGGCCAAGTGTTATCTTTGTTTTAGTCTCCTCATTACATAATTACATTTTATTTTTTTATCCAGAAGGGAAAAAACAATTACTGGCACCATGTTCTCCTCTTCAGTAAATATTTTAAAGGTAGTAAAAGACAAATTGCTGGCTGGGATGTGGTGGTAAAATACTTGTTTAGCCTGCACAGTGTCCTGGATTAAGTTCCTAGTACTGCAGAAAAAAAAAATCTCTGTGCAATACTATGTTGTTTATTCTTCTAGTAAATGTACATTTGTTTCATGCCTATATAGTAAATGCCTCTTACAAAGATTCAAAGACACTCCTAAACTGAAAATCCTTCTGAAAGCTAATACCTCTGTTCACAATAGTGATAATATTGACAAAGAATAAAGCAGCATGGTCTTGGTCCTATGGAAGGTATAAATTCTACACAGCGTGGACTCATAGTGAAAATGGTTTACAGCCAGAGAGGCTGTCAATAGCAAAGCTGGCCTTATGGAGTGTATAAAGGATTAAGTGGTAATGTTCAACTCTGTTTTCTGATTGGTGGATTGTGCCATTTTCATAGGTCAGAGGCAGGAAGCATCGTGGTGGATAAAGGCCAGGTGTCTGCACCTGAAGAATGTCGCAGTTTCATGTCTGGTCGCCCCTCACAGACTCCAGAACAGTAAGTAGATGTTTTTCATTGTTTTCATTTCTTTTAAATTTTACCTTCTGCCCTTACCTTTCTCTTCCTGATATCTGATATTGCTGTCTCTGTAGATGAGGCCAAATAACCAATTTTCATTGTGTTTCCCATCCTGCCTCTCCTCCACCTTTCATGTATAATGCTACAGATAAACCTGAAAAATAGTATGTATGTGAGGTGTCATCTACCTCCTTGTTTAAAAAACACATTTTTAAGCGGGTGAATGGGGAGACTGGAGAGATAGTTCAGTGATTAAGAGCACTTATGGCTCTTTCAGAGAACCTTGGTTTGCTTGCCAGTATCCAGGCAGCTACGGCTCCAGGGAATTTGACCCCCTCTTCTGCCCTTCATGAGCATTATAGGACATGGTTATACTTACACACATGCAGGCAAAACATTCATACGCATAAAAATAAACATAAATAAATAAATAAATAAATAAATAAATAAATAAATAAATAAATAAATGTAAATGGATAAATGGCTCCCAATATATCCAATGATACTTTTTAAGCTTTTTTTCTAAAAAAGAAAAGAGAGAGAGAGAGAGAGAGAGAGAGAGAGAGAGAGACTGACTAGCCCATAGGGCTGAGTTTTAGTTGAAACAAATATAGACAAAACTCCACAGCACTATGGCCTTCTTCCATCCATTCCAACATCTTCTGATTTTCGCTACCTTTCAGACTATGAAAATCAAAAGCATCTTTAGTTATCCACAGAAGATGTGAGGGTAACTGGAGACACTGAATGCACAGCCCAGCTCCCGCAAGGCTCATTGAATTCATTCTTCTTTTGAGAACTATTTACACAGAAGTGTAGTGATTCATATTTTGAACATGAACATCATTTTAGTCATATTATTTTGCTTCCCAAAGCCTTTATTCATTATTAAATTATTGTTCTAACAAATTCTACCAAATATTCTACATATTAAATTTCTTTATAAGTGGGTAAATTAAAGGTGAGAAGCAACACTTATAAAGCATGCAACAAACAAATAACATCTTCAAAAACACAATGCCCACATGGCTCTGATAGTACTTCAGAATCTTAGAGACTCTTCTTTTTAAATAGAGAAACATAAGGAGAAAGTTGGTCAAGTCCAATGCCCAGAGACCATGTGAATCTTTGCTTACTGCTGCACCAAGATGGAGCTTGGCTCACAGTGCCAAGTTAACATATGTTTCAAGGAAAAATGAATGACATTCAACCAATGAAAGGGCAGAATTGTCAGATTATCATTTAACTTCTGTTTCCTTTAACTTGCTTCATCAAAACTGAACCTTAGTTTATCCTTTAAGGAAACACTCAAAAATGTGGCCAAAAAATAATCCAAATTTAGCTCTAAAGGGAAAAAAAAATGAATTGGTAAAACAAGTTCCATGTTTGGTTGCCTAGTAAACTCATTAAAAGATTTTAAAAAGAGGGATTGTTTTCCCTCCAATTAACATTAGCAATGATTGAGGTAATCTGATGAGTAAAGGTAAATTGGATTTCAAAAATAAAAGTGGGGGTTGGGGATTTAGCTCAGTCGTAGAGCTCTTGCCTAGCAAGCGCAAGGCCCTGGGTTCAGTCCTCAGCTCCAAAAACAATAAATAAATAAATTAATTAACAAACAAATAAACAATACATAGGTTATATAATATTGGCTATAATTAATAGATATTTGGATTTTTTAGATTCCCAAATATTCTTTGTTCATTTTTCTGAAAACATCTATTTCTCAACACTTAACAAGTGTCTGTGTGCTTTAATATGCCTTGGCATAAATATTTCTACTTGGAGGAATGTCAAAAAATGTCAAATATGGAACTTTTCCATGATTCAAAGAGGAGAGCATGCCAAGCATCTTTTGTCCATCCCAGTGGAAGGTGGGTGGTTACTTTGGATAATCCTGGCTCCTCCTCTACCGTCTGTTTTTTTCTCATCCCTCCTTTTTACCTTTTTTTACCTAATGTTTTTCCTTAAATGCTTGCCACATCATGTCACTAATACTAGAATTGATTTGATGTGACCATTTTCTGACACTCCCTCCAATACACTAGTTTACTGGCGAGGTTGATAAATGATAGTTTCCCTGGATACCATCCCTCTTCATCCATGCACTCATCCACAATCTCACTATCCTGCCTTTCCTTCCCTAATGGTAAGAAATGCTTCACACACCGTGATCACCTACCTGATAAGTATCAACAAGTCAATTCTAGAAAACCAGTTTAAATGTATACCACTTCCTAAACAGAATACCATAGTTTAGCATAAGAACCAAGAACTATTTAGTACTCTGATGACATTTGAATGATAAAAATCTGAATTCACACATAAATATCTCCAGAAAATGATTATTTTATGCAACACTGTAAAATTTTGAGTTTATTTAGAGCTGAACCCTAAAACGCATAAGCAAATCATTATCTAAAAACCCATAAACAACTGTCATCACACTACTAGAGCATTTTCTCCCATCTTTTCTTTCTAAATTACTTAAGTAATACATGTTGTTCAAGATGGCAAATATGGAAAGCACAGAAACATATGAAGAAAAGGTGCTTTAAATAAAATAAAGATAATCTCTGCAAACATTTTGTGCATTGTGTTGGGAACAATTTAGGACATGTACACTCAAGCTCACACCCAGATACATGATCACATGTGTGCTTTTTAAAGATTACTGAGCTTGTATGTCCTAGGTAAGCCATTTGCTCATTGCCTTTTAACTTTACAATCTATAATAAATGTTGTGTCAGCCTCTTCTAAATTAGGATCTTAGTGACTTCAGAGCTCATCACCATATGGATGCCCCAGAGTTTATTCCACTGTCTCCCTAGATTTAAACATTTAGATTGGTTCTACTTGTACATTAACCAATCATGTTCTTTAGATCTTAGTATGCTGTCCCATCCTTTCTTTGAGATTACATCCTGGGAATTGAATTTCTCTGTCCAGGGGGTTGAGAAAGACTTTCAAAACCATATAACCATATTACCTTCCAGAAAGAGTGAACCTTTTGATCTCTCCATTGGCAGTATGGCATGGGCCCTTGCTTCTTTTCCCTTACTTTAATCTATGCTAATTTAGTGAGAGAAAACATAGGAATGTCTTTAGTATTCCTGTAATTATTATCCTTCCAAGATGAAACTCTGCATATTATTGGTCACTTGCCCTAACCAAAGATCTGTTTGTAGGTGTTTCAACTTACCTCATGAGTTGAATTAAGGTTTTTACTTTTAAACTTGACTTTCTTCAATTTAATTGACCATAGGATGATATAGTCCCTGAGCACAGTGATGACATTTCAGTCACTCATCCATTCATTCCTGTAAATACTTTTGGGAATTTATTGGGTGTCAAGTTATTATATTGCAATAAGGAATAGGAAGTGTAGAAAAGACTGCACACACCACAGGGAGCATTTAAAAAAGTTAAATATTTACTGACATTTTAAGTACTTCTGCATTATGACTCACATTGCAGGTGGATATCTGCAATAATTAGCCTTCTTTATTAAAGTTGAAAAAAGTGACCACCTCCACTTGATGGCTGAAGCACGACAATTTTCAGGACGAGCACAGAGTCAACCTTGGCCTTCCTCTTCCCATGCTGACTCCCACTCTTCTCACATCCAACCCATCAGAGATCATTCGGCACAATGTGCCTGAATATCATACCAGGAGGTTGAGATAAATTTAGAATCTCCCTGAGCTGTCAGATGTTTAACCCTATACTCTGCTCATCTACAGTGATGAACAAATGCAGGGAGGCAATCTGGGAAGGAAAGATTTCTGGCGCAAGATGTTCAAATCCCAGAGTGCAGCAAGTGACACCAGTAGCCAATCTGAGCAGGACACCTCGGAATGTACCACAGCCCACTCAGGGAACACCTCTGACCGCCGTTCACGCTCACGATCCCGCAGAATTTCCCTGCGAAAGAAGCTTAAACTCCCCATAGGTAAAAGTATGTCTGTATTTATTTATGGATTCTCTTATTACCATGTCATCAGATCAATGCATAGTAGAAACAGGCAGTGCATGGTGGGGACCTGGAAAGAAAGCTTTCAAGCCATAAAGCCTCGGCCTACTGTTTCATCCTGCCATTCATTCATTCCCTCTTTTTTTTTCTGCAGATATTTCTCAAATGCCTACCATATGCCACTGTTGTGTGCAAAACACGTAGCCCCTCAACTTTGCTGAATTTGTAGTAGGAGCCACTATCACTGAAAGCAGATAATCATACAACTAAGTGCATTTGTAAACTATGAATTTTCTGAAAGGAAAATTACACAGTGCTATGAAAGCTTGCAGCATTGAAGCCTGACCTCTAAGTGGGGGAGGAGGATGAGGAAGACAGGCATTAAAATCTGCCAAACACAGAAGAAAGAAAGAGAACGCTCCAGGGGGTAATGTGTGCAAAGCTAAGAACAGGATGAGGGGAATGAAAAACCCAGTTAAGGGGAACAATGGCTGACTTGTATAGTAGAACAGGCCAGAGGATATGCAAGTCAGCTTAGTGCTTCATCCTAGAGCCTCATGTAGTCAAAATGTCATGTTAAACAGAACAACACAAGCATGTAAACTTTTATAAAAACAAAACTGCATGGGAATCATATTAGTCAGGAGTGTTAGTCAGTAAGCAAGATCAGACTGAAAGCTCACTAGTATTCCAGGCATAGACATTTAGATTGGGTAACCAGGAGACACAGAGAAATGGACAGGTCTGAGATCTATTTAGGAGGTAAAATGAATCAGCTTTAATGAGAGAAGTGAAACTTGTCAAGGCTACATGGATTGATTGTGGTTTCCTGCCATGAAGGAGAGGGGAACAGGTTCATTTGTCCTGGTCTCACTTGCTCATGCAATTTTATAGTCTAACACTGAACAATTTGGTTCAAAACATGTATACTAAAAACAGCCTGTTTTTCTTCTATTTGTATCAGAGCTGTGCGACTTACATTGCTTGCTGAGTACACGCTAGCATTTTTGTTTAACCCATTTGATGGCAAATACAATAACAGTTTAATTTTGAAAAAAATTATTAACTAGGAAACTGGCTGAAACGCTCGTCCCTCTCGGGCCTGGCAGATGGTGTAGAAGACCTCCTGGACATCAGCTCTGTGGATCGCCTGTCTTTCATCAGGCAGAGCTCTAAGGTAAATAGGACATTACGCATGGAAGTGAACATAGGATTACTGACTGAAAAATTACAGGACTGAGAAATGCTAAGCACCTAGAAAGAGTTGAAAGTTTGGAAGCAATGAAAGCTAAAATGTTTACATAGTATGCCATTGTAAGAAGGAAAATAAGGGGATGTATGACACACACATATGTATATAT